AAAGTTCAATTAAAAAATATGTAAATTATAAGAAATAAAGATACAATATTAATAATAATATAAAATGCAATAAGTATATAATATTAAATAGACAAGAATGACAGTGTTTACAGTAACTATTTACAAAAACATAAGTAATCTTTAACATATGTTAGTCTATTTTTTTTTTTATTTCCATTCATGAAAAACGTTCATGAAAAATGTTATATTAAATATAAATCCTAAAATGAATATATCAATAAACATCCCTCTTACACAACACATCAGGGAGCAAACAGCATGTATCAGTGATTTATAAATGCTAAGCAAGTGGGGTCATGAATTGAACACCATTGAAAGCTCTTGTACACATACAGACACAGGAGATGATTATCTGCTGTTGTGCTCCAGGCCTCCACCCAAGCAGAAGAGAGAGATCCAGATGGCCATACGGAAGAACCGAGAAACCAACGCAGTCCTGACACGTCTCAACAGTGAACTACAGCAACAGCTAAAGGTGCACCAACCGTACGGACACATTTATAACCACTTATACTTACAGTTCACTCAAAAAAAATGAACATTCTTTCATAATTTTCTCACCCTCATTTGCATTCACTGGAAGAAAGAAAGTGATACGGGTTTGACATGAGAATGCGTACATGATGACAAATTTTTCTGCTCTTACACGTGGTTATTCCAAGAAGGCAAGCCATTAATAAATAAATGCTGCCCATTGATGCCTAAAATGTTAGCAGTCTCATATGATCATAACTGGACATTGAAGCTGAAGTCTGTTCACACATGGTTAGTTTTCTAGATGGGCAGCACATGCTATTTCCGACACCTCTAGCCAGACCAATCAAATATCTCTTCTAGTCTGGTATCGGACGCATGCTGCTTTTATATATAAACACAGACGGCTTGTGTTACCCTGAAGAGTTATTGAGTGACTGGAGATGGTGTAAAGTTGCAGTCCTCAAATCATTCAGAGATCCGCTCAACGAACACACACACACACACACATTCACACACATACTGGCTTTCTGAAAATGCGAGCCTGGACTCAAGCTTGGTTCAAGCAGTTATCTTTTTTAAAATAGTGCATCCTGCAGCAGCTGTTGTGTGTGTTTGAAATGAGGCTGAGCTATTTCTAATGAGCACCAGAATGTGCTTGGAAATGCATTTTACCACCGACAATGAGAGCAGAAAGAGAGAGTGAAAGAAAGTGAGGGAAAGGACAAACGAAAGACACTAGACTGCTGCTCATAAACGCCCATGTGCAGATCAGGTTGCACTGCATGCTGGGAACTGATTAACCTGCGGACCCCTACATGCTATGTTACAACTCTCACATTACGAAGTGTTTGTTTTCTAGTCTTACTCCTAGTTTTGAGTACATTCTTGCTTTATTCTAATTTTTTTCAAATGTTTTTTTTTTTTTTTTACATTTATTTACTCAGCATACAGTAAATAATTTAATGTAAATATAAATTTAAATATAAATATACATATAAAAAAATGTATGTAAATATAAAATTAAGCTTTTTTATTTTTAAGTTTTAAAATTAAATTTAGCACCTTTATGTCATCAAAGTTTGCTTTGCTGTAAAGGTTGGACATTATTTAAATGTAAATGACAAAATATAATTATTTTATTTAAATTGTCTGGTGAAAATAAAGTGTGTAGTATGACAAAAATATAGAATTTCTGCGAATGCATGAAGGTGTAGAGATTTTTTTTTCTAAATAAATAAAAATTGAAACACTAAATTAGTTGTTTTAAATGTGAAAATAAAGTGTGTAGTATGACAAAAATATAGAATTTCTGCGAATGCATGAAGGTGTAGATGGATTTGATGAGAGAGATTTTTTTTTCTAAAATTCTAGGGCTACGAGCTCACATGCCACCTTAGTTTCACTGGTATGAGGATTAACCCTGTTTTTGCAAAGTTACACAACAGCAATGTATGAAACAGCATGCTACCACACTATACTTGCCATTTCTGCAGTATGTATAGTTTGCAAAGTATGCAAATGTTTGTAATGGTTGGAAGTCACGGATGGCCTCCTACATTAGCAGTGTACACAATGCACTGTGCTAAACTTCATCTTCAGTTTCCACTATGAGGGAAGAACTACAAATAATATCAGCAGTGATTTTTTACTTCCTCCTTTTTTTGATGGGATTCCCAATAGCTAATTTTTTTATATACAAATTTGGATTAAAAATACAAAATAACCATTAGTTATGCCACTTGCAACATACTGAGGTCATGTGACATCAATGTAGCACACTTGTTACTTTTATTGTTGCAAAAAAAAAAAAAAGGTGTATACCATGTATACAGTACTCCGTACGTATGCCATGCTAGTATGGCAGTTCAAACAAAGCCACTAGCTTGACATTAAAAAAACAAAACAAAAAAACTAATTGTAATTTCACCTTTAAATGTTTGTCAAAACCTGCCTTTGTGGGTTAAACAGTTTTTTTTAATGGTTATTTATTGGACCTTACTAGAGATTTATTTATTTATTTTGAAATTATTATTTTTAATGTGATTTTTTTTTTTTTTTACATTTATTTACTCAGCATACAGTAAATAATTTAATGTAAATATAAATTTAAATATAAATATACATATAAAAAAATGTATGTAAATATAAAATTAAGCTTTTTTATTTTTAAGTTTTAAAATTAAATTTAGCACCTTTATGTCATCAAAGTTTGCTTTGCTGTAAAGGTTGGACATTATTTAAATGTAAATGACAAAATATAATTATTTTATTTAAATTGTCTGGTGAAAATAAAGTGTGTAGTATGACAAAAATATAGAATTTCTGCGAATGCATGAAGGTGTAGAGATTTTTTTTTCTAAATAAATAAAAATTGAAACACTAAATTAGTTGTTTTAAATGCTTCATGTGATTTTAGGCCTCAGAACACTATGAAATGCATATTTAGTATGAGATTGGCTAAATATTGCATGTAACAATGTTATAAAATTTCTTGTGTTTTAAATATGAACTTTAAGTGAGTATTACATGATGACTAATATAAATGTAAAAACAGGAGAAATGAGCATGTGCAATAAAATATCCAATATTGCCTATAACTTTCATAGTGGAAATGCATGAAGTCTGGTGAGATTGAGCATTGACACCATGTATGGAGTGTCAGATACACTGATACAGCAAGAATCTGACATATATTTCAAAAAGCAGTCAGACGAGTGTAGATATTTGAGAAGATGTTCCTGATGGGTGTCAGATGACTGTGATGGTATGTGTGTCTGTGTCTGTCTGGATTGTTCTAGAAGATACGTGATATACGAGAGTTTAATGACAAATGAAGACAGGTAGCAGTAAACGTTCCAGAGACATCTGTGAGCATCAGACCGGCCGCTTTCATCCTTTCTGTTTGATGTCATCTGAAGGTCGTGACCTCAGTAGCGTTCCTCATATGACAAGTGTCTGTGTGCTCAAAACATTTGTCAAATGGGGATCAGCTTATTAGTGTTAAATTAAGCATCACTATTACTATTGCTTATATTTAATGTTAGCAACCACTCAAAACACCCTGGCAACCACATATCAACAGACCAAACCCACCAGGAATACCTTAGTAACCACATAGCAACAGATTGAACCCACTAAGAATATCATAGCAAAGGAATAGCAACACCCTAGCAACCACATAGCAACACTCCGAACTGACTTAGAATACCCTAGCAACTGCATAGCAACACACTAAGTCCATTCAGAACACTTTAGCAAACGCAAAGCAACACCCTAAACCCACTCAAAACACCCTAGCAACCGCATAGCAAC